AATATATTTTTAGGTCCTTACAAGGTTACATGACCTTTAGCTCTTTTTTAAAAAAGACTTTTAGATCAGATTTGAGTTCAGCAAAATTGAGAGGAAAGTAGCTTCCCATATATGATCCTGCTGCCACACATTATAAACACTATGTAAATTATGTTTTAACTTTATGGGTACATTTTTAAGCAAACAATTTATTATGGGAAATTTCAAGTGTAAGTGAAAGGAGAAAGTAATACAGTCTACCCCATATATCTGTTACCCAGTTATTCATAACCACTCATGCACCTTCTTTAAGCCCATACACTTGCTATCGCTCACTAGATTATATTGAATTACAGAAAGTATTAGCAATACTTCAACATGACCAAATAGCTAATTATTTTCAAAACTCCCTCAGTTGTCTCCAGCATGTTTTGACATAGTGCTTTAATTCATCTACATCTAACCAAGATCCACGCACTATATTTGGTTGATATAATTCTTATAAGTTCTTAATCTTAATCTATATTTTTGATCTCCTCTTTCATTTTTTTCTCAGTTAGTTATTTGAAGAAACTAGGTTATTGGCCATGTAGATTTTACTCATATGTCTAGATTTTTCTGATTGATTGCATTTTCTTGGAGTCATTTAACATGTTTTTCTCTGTCAGTATTTTATATAATATGGTAGCTAGATACAGGAACTTTGTGTAATTTTTTTAAAGATTATTTCATTGGTGATATTAAGTAATTCCATGATGAAGCATATATTCTGGTTCTCTCTCTTCATGATTTTAGAAGCTAATGATGATCATTGCCTAGATCCATTATCACATTAGGGGTTCACAAAAGGGTAATTTTGTAATTTCATCATTTGTATTTGATTAGCTAGATAAGACAGAGAGAAATTTTCCCTCATTATTTAGTTACTCTGAAATACACTTCATACATGAAGGATAATCTTTTCTTTTATTTGCAGTTTTCATAATATAAATATTATTTTCTAAGGATGACCACTGAATTTTCTTTCTTCCTAATAATATTATGAACTCATGAATATTGATATATTAAATGTGGCTGAATTTAGTTCAGATTTTATTCTTACTGATATTAAAATTGTCCCATCTTTGCATATAATCTACCCCAATAAGAGTATTTTCAACATGGTCCTTGCGCATTTTTGGCATGACCCCAGTAGTCTCTGAGAGTTGACTTGTTTATTTTATGACACAGTGTGAATTTTGAGAAATCTGAGTAAGAATGACATTGATTGCAAATGTCACTAACATTGTTATTTTCATTGTCCCTTGATATATGTATTTATATGTACCAACGTTATTAATAACCATGTGATTATTTTAAAAAGTTAAGATTTAGTTTGTTATTGTTTTTGTCTTTTGAACAAAGTACTGTTTCTTAAAATCATTCAACATAAGTCCTCACTCTAACCCACCAACTCAATATGGAATTAGGATCATTATTTCATCTGTATTTGGAATTTTCAAGAGTTGTTTTTATTTAATTATGTTTATAAATATATAAAACTACATGGTTTTAAAGTTAAATCTGTACAAAGTATATTCAGAAAAAGTATTTTCATTACTCTCTTTGTTTATTTCTCTATGAAGAAAAATATGTATTTGCTTGTATTAAAAACATGCATATGTAAATAATTTCCATCCTTAGGTAAATGATAGTCAAGCATGTACATCTTTTCCCACTTGCCTTTTCTATCTACACTATAAATTGAGATTATTCCACTGTAGTATAAAGTGATATATCTCAATTTTTTAGCAGCACACACTTTTAGTGTAGGATTTAGCATATATTAGTCTTTAAGTCCCCCCTTGATGAACACTGGTGTTTACTTTTTTTTTTAAAGATTTATTGATTTATTTATTGATTGATTGATTGATACATACAATCTGGGTACAGTCAGAAGCGCGGGAGGGTGAGAGAATTCACCAGAGCCAGAGCAGGGAGCAGAGAAGGCAGCAGGACCAAAGTACACTGCTGAAGGGAGCAGCGGGTGGCAGGAGAGATCTGTGCGCCATGTGGGACCCTCCTCAGGAGGCCGGGGAGCAGCCGGGGATTGAACCGGTGCTGCAGAGGCTGTGGGCAGCTTCGCAAACCAGCGCTCAACTGATGCGCCACAGGGGAGGCCCCTGGTGTTTACTTTTTGATAACATAAGTTTTATAATGAATGTGGGTATGTAAATCAATTATATAAAGACATATCTCTATGATAGACATCTAGAAATAGATTTTTGGGGTCAATTCAAAAGGAAAATATACATGCAATTTTGCTAGATATTGACAAACTACCCCCCACATGTATTGTGCCACTTTACAAACATATCTAATAGCGCAAGTAAGATTATATGCATTTACACAAAGTGTAGCTAAAGACTACATATGATCTAATGTCATCAGAAACAGAATTATTTCAAAGATGATCTGCATTTGATAGCAATTTGTTTATGTCATAGCTCTGTCTTGATGGGAGCTTCTGTCACAGATAATATTTGCTAAATCTAACAATATTATACGATGTAAGATTATCGATATTCAAACACATACTCATTTTTGCAGAACTACTGTTTTCATTAGAAACAGCAAGAATAGAAATTAAAATTTTGTTCACCATCTATACCTCACAGTGAACATAATAAACCATCTTAGAAAGTTACTTTCAGACTAGAGAATAGTGAAAATATTTTAAAATGTCCTTTAAAATACTTAGATTTGCTTCTTAATGGTGTCTTAGAATGGATTGATAGTATATTCCTCTGGCTTAAAGTTGTTGAGTGACTGGTTATGAGTTGACTGACAAAACCCAAAGTAATAGCCCTGAAGGCTTCTTAAACCACTAATCCTAAATCTGCTTTTCTTTATTGATATAATTAGGGGAGAATTAATTTTAAAAGGTGGTAATTATTGATTACTTAATGGCAGATGATAGTATAGAGAAATGCTGAAGTGAGCCATTCTGTGCCCTCCTGGGCATCATGACCCATTATCCAGTGGTGGAAATCATGCTGTAACCCTCATTAACATTTAATAGGCAGGAGACTGGCTGGATATAGGCTACAAAATTGACCTAAGCTAAGGCTCCAGTAGGCCTCAAGAAAGTTTCAAGCATATAAAAGAGTAATAGATTTCCCTGTGCTCCAAAAGTTTTTAATCAGGACAACGATAAACTCAATTCCCTCTTGTGATGTTAGGACAATGATATCCTAGTGGAAACACCCACTAGGCAAGCTGACATAATTAATGCTCTGGGAAGTCACTCTAGTTTAGTAAGCATGAAAAGACAGTATTTTCCAGTGCAGTTCTCAATTTCAACCCTTCTCTTTCTCTCCTCCTGCCACAAGCTGAAAGGACTTGTTCAGCCTGGGTGGCAAGACAGCAAAGGTGTTAATTGTGTCTAACACAGCCATCATCGGGTTTGGGCGATATTCTGTATCACTCTGTCTATCAAGCTAACCCCTTGTCACATGTCAGGATCTTTTTTATTTCAGTTCATTTAAAAAGGAAACAAGTAGTTTTAAAGATAGCTGGTGGGGAGACATGAGTATGAGTGCTTCTAAGGACTAAGAATCTTAGAAGCTAACTTGAACTAAAATAGGTTGTGACTTTTGACAGGACATACAAGGTTTTATAGGTTACTGACTCCCACATTATTTTTTTCAAATTACCATCAACTTATTTTGAAAATACTGTAAGTTTTAAATGAGGTATTTCTTAATAAAGAACATATTTTGGGGACTTATGGATGCATAAAGAGTATAATTCAGATATTCGCCAATACAAACAATGTATAAATTTAAATAGAGGAAATATCAATTTTTTGACTCAATGACTCTAAGGAATTTTTAAAAATATATTTAGGAGAATCATTTATTTTGTAGCATATCAGGAATTATTTATAATTACTTGCCTGGAATGAATTACATACGAATAAAAGTTTAGCTTAGTAAGCAAAATGTATCCAAGGGAACAAGTCTTCTATTAACATACTGAGTTTTTTCCTCAAAACCAGTGAATGAAATTGACCTAGAGGTCTAATTTTAATTTCATGTTAATACGGAAAAATTCTGTTTTACTCCCAACATTAAACTGTGCATGACTAAATGCTGCTTTCAGTTTATTAATAGGTTTATGTATATGCCTCCCTTTCTGACATTCAACATAGAGTTTCATATGATCAAGTTTTAACAATAGAGAAATGCGTTTTTGTTCATATTTGTTTTTTAAGAAATATGATCTTTATAAAGCATAATAGTGAATCTACTCACATGCTTTTTTATAGTGGATCTACTCACATGTTTGTTTATTGCTTTTTTTCATGTTGGTACTTTTTATTGGTTGGTTGATTGGTTAGTAACGCATGCCATTCCCACATGGAAGTAAGTTTGTAGTTACCTCATTCCAAGAAGGTTCAGTTTAGAATTCACAGATACTTCAGTTGCTTTTCCTAAGATTAAATTTTAAATATCTTAAGATTTCGTCAAGGTGCTTAACACTATAACATAAAACATACAAAGACATACTATCCACTGTAAAGATTATGATGTTAATAATATTTATATATTCAGTGCCTCTAGATATTCCAGAAAGGAGAGCTTTTTTAAGCCTATATTGGTAAGAAACTGATGCTTATTTTTTTTTAAAGATTTATTTATTTATTTATACTAGCACTGGGTACAGTCACAAGAGCGGGAGGGTAAGAGAATTCACCAGAGCCAGAGCGGGGAACAGAACAGGCAGACTGACAAAATACACTGCTGAGGGGAGCAGCGGGCATGGCAGGAGAGGTCTGTCACGCCATGTGGGAACCTCGCCGGTGGCCAGGGATCTAACGGGCACTGCAGAGGCTGCGGACAGCTTCGCAACCCAGCGCTCAACCGCTGCGCCACCAGGGGAGGCCCAGAAACTGATGCTTATTGAGCCATTATCTGTTTAGCAGTTTGATCAGTGAAAGTCACAAATCCTAAATTTTCTTTCCTTTTCTTATTTTATAGCGCAGCAGCAGTTTTGGGAATTTTGATCGTTTTCGGAATACACCCATATCAAAACCAGATGATTCATCTGAGGTTTGTATTTTATTCCATTGCTATAAACGTTATGCAAAAACATTTGAAGAAATTATGAAAGCAATATTACTTTTGCAAAACACATTAGGATAAATAGGTTTTCAAAATCATAGCCTTGCATATAGTTTTATAGTAAATAATTATTTAGTATCTAGTAATATGCTGGACATGAAGAATAAAAAGTTATTTAAGTAACCTACCAGATATGTAGGATGGCAGAACATGAAATTTTAAGAAAATATTTATCATTTGAAGTAACGCAGACAACGCCAAATTTTCTGGGCATATCCACCATAAAACAATATATACATGCCAAATTTTATGTAAGTTGTTATTCCTTTAATTTAGGAAATATTAAGGCTTAATTGTAAGTTTGGTAAGGGGAATATACCATTGCTCATTTGTACTTTCACACTTCACCTTCTGCATTTAAATATCTCATTGAAGATTTTTACATACGCTTTTGCAAACATTGAACACTTCAAATGTAGCTTAAGTTTCCAATAAAATTAAGATTGTATAACTATAACAACTACTACTATTATTACTACTACATTTAACTGAGCACTTTGCATATAGTAAACACAATGCTAAACAATTTGCCCACCTGCAATGTTGAACTATTAGTATTCCTATTTTTCCACTAAATAGATTTCATTTAGTAGAATTATTTCTAAATTATAGTTGGTAGACGACAAAGACAGAATTCAACATCTTGCCTGATCACAAAGTTTGCCATTCTATTATGGTATGTCATAAACCAAATGTGCAAATAATTAGGTAAAGATCTAATAACTAATAAAACAGTAGAGAGAAGGAATATATTGATAAAATTGAAAATTCATGTTTATCATTGAATCTGATTCAGCAACCCCATACATTGTTTGTTTTAGACCCTATGCACTCTTTACTCACTCTAATTATTGTATCTTTTTCAGTTTTATAAGGAATTAGTTCCTTGATTGTATCTACTTTCTCAAAATGTTTTTCAGTTCAGATTCATACATGAATCTTAATATAATCTCCTTTTATCTATATATTTATATACAAGGTTATGAATAAACTTGTATATAGCTATGTGATTGATCTAGCTACATTTACAGAATTATAAATATGTATATATGTATATAAATTGAAAAGCCCTATAAAATTCAAATTTCAGTTAGCATAATCACATATACTTATATTCTACTGTCATTTAGATTATAATTCTAGAATTAACCTATAAAAATAGATCAGGCTCATTCTGATTTTTTTTTAAAGATTTATTTATTTACTTATACAAGCACTGGATACAGTCAGAAGTGCGGGATGGTGAGAGAATTCACCAAAGCCAGAGCGGGGAACAGAACAGGCAGACTGACAAAATACACTGCTGAGGGGAGCAGCGGGCATGGCAGGAGAGGTCTGTCACGCCATGTGGGAACCTTGCCGGTGGCCGGGGATCGAACTGGCGCTGCAGAGGCCTCAGGCAGCTTTGCAGCCCAGCACACAACCGCTGCACCATACATTCTGATTTATTGATTAGTAATAATGGCCTAGTAAAAATTAGTGAATCTGATAAAGTAGTCCACACATATTTCAGTAATCCAGTATTCATTCATTAAACAAATATTTCTTCCGACCTACTCTGAAGATTTCCTTAGAGACTCAAAGTACTATTGCAATAGCATGAAAATCCTCACTTCATAAAGCCAAGAATCTAGGAAGGAAGACATATCTTCAAAAAGCAACAAGATAACAAAAATGCTCACAAGTAAATATCTAAATAAAATGTGATTCAGGCTACAAAAGAAAATAAAATAGAAAAAACTAAAATTAATATATGCTGAGAGTTTATTTCAAACTTCAATAAAGAGTAATAGAAAAACCTAAACTTAAAGATGTTTGTGGTACCTTTTTTGATGCTTAAGCAATGGTAAGTTAGTACAGGTAGTAATAAAATATGTTCTTATTTATTTTAGTTTGTAAGTTTATAAAGAAGATCAGGGAAATTTCAGTACAGAATAGAGGGAAGAAAACGGTTAATGATGAATTTTAAAGTTTTTCCAGGTTATATTTTGTTCAGGACTTTTGAATTAAGTAAGGAGTCTTTGCTCTATCACCTTGAATGCAGAAATTAATAAAAGTGCAATGAGAGCTTAAATTGACTATCCATTCAAATTCATCATAGGCAATTTGGGATAAGATATGAAACAAAACATACTATGGGTTAATAATGTTGTTAACTATGTGATTAAACCATCATACTTAAATGCTTAAGTCCACTAAAGAGAGTTTCCCATGATTCTTTACATTTAGGAAATGACTGACTACCCATCCATCAGGAATGGTGGGCAATGCTAAATTGGGCAAACTTCAAAGGACCTTTCTTAAAAATCTGAGATATAAGGGTATAACCCAAATATGACCTCCATGAAAGAAAAATTACTCCAAATTTCCACATGAAAATTTTTGTTTATTCAAAAAATATCGAGGGTCAGTTATAAAAGTATTCTGGACAAAATAAATAACAGATAAAGTCTCCAGACTCCAGGCGTATACATCATCGTGGGGGATGCAGGCTATACCAATAAAACAGACAAATATATTGAAGAATAAATCAGGGTAAATCATAGGGAGTATGAACAAGTGTGGGCTACTTTTTTTAAGATTTATTTATTTATTTATACAAGAACTGGGGTACAGGGCCTCCCCAGTGGCGCAGTGGTTGAGCGCTGGGTTGTGAAGCTGCCCGCAGCCTCTGCACCACCGGTTTGATCCCCGGCCGCCTGGCAAGGGTCCCACATGGCGCGCAGACCTCTCCTGCCGCCCGCTGCTCCCCTCAGCAGTGTACTTCGGTCCTTTTGCCTGTTCTCCCCGCTCTGGCTCTGGTGAATTCTCTCGCCCTCCCACGCCTCTGACTGTACCCAGTGCTTGTATAAATAAATAAATAAATCTTTAAAAAAAAATATATCCATGGTCTCATTTTCTCAATGCCCATGCAGCATTACAGTGAAATATCTCTCATCTAATTCAATACAATCACACATCATGCCTAGTATGTAAATCTGTGTTGAACATTTAAAAACCAGGAAGGACAAAGTGGTTCATCTATATTGTTATTAAAAGTAGCTAAAATTCTATTAAGAAGTTCAGACATGAAGCTCACATTCTACAAAATCATGGGTCTTACTTTCTGAGTTTGTAACACAGGTAACTTGCCTGGGAGGACTTTAAAAATATGTATTATATGCAGATTTCTCGATATTTTGGAAGTTATACAGAATGTTTAGGAAGTCTACAAATGTGGTATGTTCTCTCTAACAATGGTTTCAGATTAAAGTTTCTCATGGTTTTATTACTTTGTCTTTTATAAATAATTCCGACTAGGTATATGAAGGGGATCCCATAAGCGAAAATGGAGAACAAAATAAAGCTTCAAATAATGCACGTTTAGGTAAAAAAGTAAGAGCCATCTCATGGACAATGAAGAAAAAAGTTGGTAAAAAGTACATCAAAGCCCTTTCTGAGGAAAAGGTAAGGTGCTCAATTAATCACTTGCATTCCTGATAGGTTGACATTGTGTAAAATTCTTAATATTCTCATTGAGGTTTTTCTTTCTCCATATTGCAATGTGAAATAGATGCATACAAGTTCACCAAAAGCGTAACACTTTAACAGATAACTAGGAGTATAATTATTAGATCGTATGTAGATTTTTTAATACTTTGAGAAATCTCTATACTATTTTCCACAGGGGCTGAAATGATCATCATTCCCACCAACAGTGTTCAAAGGGCTCCTTCCCCGCCACCTCACCCCCCCCACCCCACCACCCCCCCACCCCCCCCCATGCTCACTAACACTTGTTTCTGGTCTCACAGGTGTGAGGCATTCTCTCACTGTGGTTTTCATTTGCATTTCTGTAGTGACAAGTGATGGTTAACAATTTTTCATGTGCCTGTTGGTCATCTGTGTGTCTTCTTAGGAGAATCGCCTAGTCAGCTCTTCATCATTCTCAGTGGTGTAAAAATGAATGCTTTTTCACAAAGATCTGATACAAGCAAAGGATGTCCACTCTCATCACACTATTTAACATAATAGTCACACTATTTAACATAATAATGTAAGTGCTAGCTAGAGCTAGGTAAGATTAAAAAAATAAAAGAGTCCAAATTGGGAAAGAAGTAAAGGTATTATTATTTGCAGATGACAGGATAATACACATAGAAATTCCTAATGACTTCTCAATGAAACTAACTGAAATAATAAATCAGTTCAACACAGTGACAGGTTATAAAACCAATACACACAAAATCAGTTGCCCTCCTATATGCATACAGTGAAGTAGAAGAGGAAGAAATCCTGTTCACAATGGCAATGGCACCAAAAAGAATTAAATACCCAGAAGTAAGCAAAACAAGGGAGGTTAAAGACCTATTCAACAAAAACTGTAAACCACTGCTAAAAAAAAAAAAAAAAAAAGGAAGACGACACAAGGAAATGGAAAGATGTATTTCCTGCTCATGGTTTGGAACAATTAAAGTTAAGTTAAAATAGTCAATGTACCCATAGCAAAACACAGATTCAGTGCAATCCCCATCTAAGTGTCAGTGGTAGTCTTCAAAGAAATAGAATATTACTGAAATTTACATGGATCCACAAAAGGTCCGAATAGCCAAGCAATTCTGACTAAAAAGAGGAGTGGTAGTATCACACTCCCACACTTCAAATTCTACTATAATCAAGCAATATGGTACTGAAACAAAAACAGATATACAGGACCTCCCTGGTGGTACAAGGGTGACGTCTCAACACTATGAAGCAATTCGCAGCCGCACTAGCACCAGTTCCATCCCCAGCCAGGGAGGTGACCCACAAGGTGTAGCAGATTTCTCCTGTTTCTGTGGCTGCTCCCCTCAGCAGTGTATTTCCAGTAGATCTGCCTATTCTGCTCCCACTCTGTCTCTGGTGAATCCTCTCACCCCCCACACCTCCGTCCTGCACCCCAGCTCTTGTATGCATAAATAAATCAATCTTTAAAAAAAAACAGACACACAGACCAATGAAATAGAATTGAGAGCCCAGAAATAAACCCACACCTATATGAACGGTTAATCCACAAAAAAAGAGTCAAGAGTATACATTGGAAAAAGAAAAATCTCTTCAATACATAGAGAAAACTTTCACCAGCCACATGCAAAATATAGACTACTATCTCACATAATATAAAAATATTGATAATAACTCAAAATGGATTGAAAAATGGATGGACAACTTGAACCATAATATACACATAAGAAAACATAGGCGTAACATTTTATGGCATAGGTTTCAGTGATGGAGGCTGTTCCATCTATCAATAAATCAACCTTCCCCCCAAATTTAACCCCAGTAGCTAAAACTCTCACATCACCCAGTTTTATTTCCTGTATAGCATTTATTATTCTCTGAAATTATCTTGTTCATTTTGTTTACATATACCCTCCCAAACACCACACACATACACACACACACACACACACACACACACACAGCCTAACACCCTAAAAAGGATCTCAGTTCTCAAAACAGGGCCAAGTACTAAGAATTTGTTCTATAAACTTGGGCTGAATGACTGAATTAAAAAAAGAAAAAGCAAAGAACCAAGCTTATTGTTATTCATATATATACATACACATGTGTATGTGTGTGTATATATATTCTAAAGTTTATCAATGCTTAGAAATGGTCAAAAATAAGGAATATTGAATTAAGTTTGATAAATAATCAGAAATTCATAGATTTTGTCCAAACTATCTAAATATGGAAAACATTTGAGATGTTTTCAAGCAGATGTAATTTGTTTTGAAATTGTCTGTCTTTTCTAATTTTATGCAAGATTTGCTTTTCACTTGACTAGGTGGCAAGCGCGGTATGAGATTTGTAAAGCTTCTTAGATAAGCTTTGCTTTAGAATTGCAAAGTGTGCATCTTTTATTCATATCTAGTGATCTGGTAGGGTGCAAATAACTGACATGAAACAACTATGCAGGGTTTAAAGTTGTAACATCAGATCTCAAAGATTAGTAGCAGTGGTAAATACATGATAAAAGAGGAAATGAAAAAATAAAAAAAACTTTAACAGATAAAGCATAGATGTCAATAAATCTAACATTTCTGATTAAATAGTCTGGATATGATATTCATCCTAATTTACAAGAATGAACTATTACCATTTCAGTTGAATTCCATAATGTGGGGTGTTTTATCTAAAGAATTATTCCAAGTACACTATAAAATGTTTTGCTAGAATTGAGCTAAAGATTAATGACTCATATTTTACACTGATGTATCCCTAAGTATTTTATTACTAAAATATGTCTAGTTTATTAAATCTATGCACACAGTGAACATCTCCATGCAAATCTGGTCTCTGCACTTAACTTTTAATATGTTTTTCTGAAGGATGAGGAAGATGGAGAGAATGCCCTCCCATATCGGAACAGTGACCCCATGATTGGAACCCACGCAGAGAAGATGTCCCTCACAGCCAGTGACTCCATGGATAGTCTCTACAGTGGGCAGAGCTCATCAAGTAAGGCCGCAGAATAAGGGACAAAATCCTAGACTGGAGGTCCAGGTTAATTAAAAACAAAAGATTTGTTGCTCTGGGTCTTCTTTAGCAAATTTGCAACTCCATGAAAGAAATAATGAAAATGTAGAATGTGTTGAATCCACAGAGTTGCTATCGTTTAAAATGATACATACTATATTTGAAAGGATTATGTATTATTTTGAAACTTTTACCTCTGCTCCGCAGAGCTCTTGGGGATATGCCTGAGAAAGGTTATGCAGAGTGATTAGATCTTCATTCCTAAAATAAAGTTGTATGGAGAGGAGAACCAGCATTATCAGAGTTACAATTTTTTAAATGATTTGAAGTTTCCAGACGGACATAATCCTAATCTCCGTTTCTTATTCTCTCCCTTCCTCTCTCACTCCCTCCCTCCTTTCTCTTCCCCTCTTTTTTTCCTTCACTCTCCTGCCCTTTCTTACTTTTCCCTTCCTTCCCTTTTTTCCCTAGAGTGTTCTGAAGAGAGCAAGGCACTTGCATCAATTCTGACATTTACCTTTAGGTCTCCATCTGTTATTAGTAATTAACGAGTGAAGTAGTAAAGTAGCATGCAAGTAGGAATATAGTAGGTGACTATTAGGTAACAAAAAGGAACCAACATAGAATGAGGATTTTCTAAAAACATTTATATTTTTCTATAAAGGAAGCCCCTCAGGATTTAGTCTCATAGCCTATCCTACCACAGTATTTAGAAGAAACTACTGATAGTTCACTGTCAGTGTGCCTTATCACTTCTGTATTTATACTTAGCTATCCCTCTAGTTTTTTTTCAGGACTTTTAAATGTTTGTTGTTGTCGTTGTTTTGCAAAGTTTACTTTCCATTTCTTATTAAATCAACTTCTTTGGTTACTTGAAGATAGAGTACAAAGACCAGATGTTTCAAATATCCTGAATTTAATTCCTATTTTCCTATTGGCTATGGAAGTTATTTTTGTGGGAAAAAAAAATCTAATGCAGAAACATGTGAAGGATATATTTTTACATGTGTGAAATTTGGATTTCATTAGTATTCATTTCTGCTGGAAGTTTTAAAATTCTAAATCATGATGCTGAATGTGAGAAGGATTGTATTAACTAGAACATACCATTAAAAGCCAGGGCCTCAGGTGGTCATGGAAGGGAGAGTAAGAGAAGATGGTAGGCCATTTAGCTATTATTAGATACAACCTAATTTCTGTGATTAGAAGAAACTCACCTTTCTTTTATAGCAGTTCATATGCAATATGGAGTATCTCTAAAGATCTTTACTTAATTTCCATAATTATTTGAATGAATGGTAGAGAAGCCAGTGCTGTTCCCTCAGCAAACAGAACACTGTAAGCCCATGATGAAAGAGAAAGTGAAATGACAAGGAGAGCAGTGGGGAGCGTTACCTCCACTGGGAACGATTCTTGTCCCCAGACAGCAACAAAAATGGAATCTCTTTCCTCTTTTTCCCTAGAGATTTGAAATCAGAAAAGTGAGGACCATAGAACAAAGACTTGGCACAATTTAAAAAGCCTAGTTTAGAAGAGTTTTGAACTAGTTGGGAGTTCAGACGCTGGAATTCACTTCCTCCTTCCCATATACATTCACAACAAGCAAAAGTGCTACCTTTTATGCACAGATGTGTTACCTCAAAGTGGCTTTTGGTACACAATAGAAGGCTTGGGGAGCATTTTTGCTACATTGTGATAAGATGAAAGGACTCTTGTAGTCTCAGCTTTGACTATTGTGATCAATAGATACAATAATCAAACAGTTGCTATGGGTTTCTGTCATTGTCTACATGTACACAATTACCCAGCTTGTGCAGTGTGTGTGTGTTGGGGGGAAACGGGGCATTGCTAAGTTTATACTGTCTGCCTCTTTGGCAGGTGTCCAATGCTCAGTGCACTGCACTACAGGATCAGATAATGGAGACCTGAGTCTGAGTTTGTGGCTAAGGAAAGAGTGGTCAGATTGGCAAGAGAAAGGTCAGAAATAACTCAGAGGATGAGGCTCAGGGTTTGACTGGTAGACAGAAACAGGATCAGTCACTTGAAAGCCCCTCAGGAGGCTGGCATCTGATGTGTCAACATTTCCGCTGCTTAGTTGTATCCAGACAATGGTTCAGAATGTTAGGAACCTTTGATGAAAACTGTTAACCTCTACTTTGCTCTCATCAGGTGGAATAACAAGCTGTTCAGATGGTACAAGTAACAGGGACAGCTTTCGACTCGATGAAGATAGCCCCTATACCGGACCATTCTGTGGCCGGGCCAGAGTGCACACTGATTTCACCCCAAGCCCCTATGATACTGACTCCCTCAAGATCAAGGTGCGTCACATCATATCTGCATTTTGTGTGGTTTATCAATGCTATATATATGATCTTTTTCAGTAAGTATAAGCAGTGGGAACTGGGAACTGAGTATGTTCTTCCCAATAATAGGTCTGGGGACTGGATTATAGTGTGAGGTCGTAGAGGGGATCAGTCTGTTGAGACAACTAGCAGAAACTGCTGCAAGATAAGTAATTCGTCTGTCTGCCTGTTCTGTTCCCCGCTCTATCTCTGGTGAATCCTTCACCCTCTCGCGCATCTGGCCTGTATGCATCTGGCCTGTACCCTGGTTCTTGTATGAATAAAAATAAATCTTAAAAAAAAAGGTAATACAGAGGAGACTGATACATAAAACATCTACATTTATCTGAAAATCAAAAGCCTCACGGATCTCTGGAGGTGATGAGGTATGCATGATACTTGGAGTAAAAATAACGAAGCCGAAGAGGAGGGGAGATGAAGATAGTAAGCAAGAGCCAAGCAGAGCAAAGGATTTGGGAACCAGACTTGTCCTGACAACTTCAGTACTTAAGATAGTTGCCATAAGTTACCAACCAGACATCTTTCTGCAGTAATGTTCCCTCCTGAAATCCCTCTTCTGTATTAATTTTCCATGCCACAATACAAATTGCTACAAAATCAGGGGCTTCCAAGTACGCCAATGTATAATTATCTTACAGTTCAACCAGGTTTCTACTGAAGGTCTCACTAGGTTAAAATCAAGGTGTCATTCAGGCCTATGAGGTCCTCCAAGGCTAAGGGTCCTTTATCAATTTCACTGGCTGTGGTAGAATTTAGTGCCTGGTGGCTGAAGTCCTATTTTCTTGCTGGATATAAACAGGTGGCCGTTCACTGATGCTTGAGATCCAGTTTGTTCCTTCAAGGCTTCCAAGACAAAAGTTCACTCATGCTTCAATTCTTTATTTTTGATAGCTCCTATGTGACCAAGTCAGAAACACCCAGATAGTCTCCCTTTTATTACAGCAACAACTAATTGGGGACATTAATTATATCTGCGTGGTCCCTTCTGTCATACAACATAAGATAATCACAAGTGTGAAATCTATCATTTTTCATATTCTTGCTTACACCTAAGGTGAGAACCTGGTTAGAATAGTACAAATAAAACCAGGGGAAAAAAAGAATAGTACAAATAAAAGATTTAGTGCTAAATATTTTATAGATAGTATATTATTCCTGTTGGTACCACAAAGAGCTATAGCTAAAAGGGCATAAATTATCATTTTTCTATAATGTCAACAGCAACCAGTGTTAATAAAAATTATTATGTCATAAAGTACTGATATTATTTAATATTCAAGGTACTCAAGTCTTCTATTTATCCCTTCAAATCAGAGTAGGCTCAGCTGGAGGTTGAGGAAAACATTCTTCCTCACAGCCAGCTCCTTACTCATTTCTATGAAATAATCTGGTCTAAGTTCAAGTCTTTGGGGAAGACTGCTTGAAGACAATTAACTGTTATGGGAAGAGGGAAGTATAAAAAAACAACACATCTTTACTCTCCTACCCATACTGCCATGCCCAGGCACTATCACTGGAGCTGCCTCAGGAAATGTTTTTGGAACTCTTCAGGACACAGTAAGAATCCCACCATTACCACTAAGGATTAAATACTATTGTTCCTATCAAGGGTCTTATGCAAAATGAAAGTGGATCTTGCAAAATGACCAGTGGGTTTTCTTGGATTATATACTTTTATAATTAAAGGATAGTCGAAAGGATGCCACAGATTGCTACCATATTTTAAAATTTCCCTTTGAGTGTCTGGGGATTTTCTAAGTCTGTTTTGTTGATTCCATCTAGCCTAAGTTTTGATTCCCTGTAGTTAAAGGAAGTAAGAACTAGATAAACAACTCACTGGCTAAGACAAGCTGATCACAAATAATATGATCTTTTAGTCATATAGAATTCTATTATTAGAGATACCATTTGTGTTTCCCATGGAAAAATATATATTCACAAAGCAGCAGATAAAATTATTTTTAGTATGAGATTAATGCTTTGTTTGTTTGCATGTAGATCCCTAAAAACAGTAAAAATACTAGAATCTGTAATGTCCTCTTTGGAGTATAAAGCTGTAAGTAGCAATGGAGTAACTATGACTCTTAAACATACCATAATTGCACAGAAATCAATTTTCTTTACAAAAGAAATACCCCTGTAGGATTTTCCCTTCTTTCCACAAGTGGAAACTTTTAGCTAACAATTCTCAGGTATGAATTAAGAAAAAAACAACTGGTTTGTCCATCATACTGGTTTCAATCATAGTTCAATCCAGACTTTGTTGTGGACCTCAACTTAAGTTTTATATCCTCTAGAATAAAAATTAAGTATCATAATTTATACTTAGTGCAAACATATCTACGTTACATATTTAATGTGTATATTTTACTATTTTAGATGGATGCAGTAGTTTAAATGGGTTTGTTTTATACTATAGGTGGATTTTGCAGATGAACTGGAGCAGGGATAAAGGCACAAAATTCTCTTTCTTTCCCTTCCTCGTTTTGATACCCCTCCAGAACTGATGGCTTGAGCTTTGCTACATATATATTGGTCTGACAAAATGAATGAAAAGGATATTATAGAGTTAGAGTAATATTATAGATTTAGAGTAATAATGACACCTCACATATGTATGTTAAGATGTGTGCCACAGACACAAATGTGTTTTGTAAATTACAATGTATCCCACAAGGACAAGCTGACGAGTTAATTATGATCCCAAAAACATAAACATGTCATCAAATGCATGTAGGAACTTTTCTTCAAGCAAATTATTAATTATTACTATCAAATACTTCCTTGAACTCTTAAATTTCCTCTTAGATTGATTTCTGTTATTTCTGAACCCCTTTAGTATAATCCCATCATTCTAATGGTATAATCCCATTTTTCTAATTTTCTGATTCCATTTTCTTTACCAGTTGTTACAGCATCAGTTTTCTCAGAAATCTGATTTATCTATTTCTTTGTCCTTAGAAAGGAGACATCATAGACATTATATGCAAAACACCAATGGGCATGTGGACTGGAATGTTGAACAATAAGGTGGGAAACTTCAAATTTATATATGTGGATGTCATCTCAGAAGAGGAAGCAGCCCCCAAGAAAATAAAGACAAAAGGAAGGAATGAAAAGGAAAAACCCAAGACTCTGCAGGAGTTCCTGGAGAGGATTCACCTTCAGGTTAGCAAGACTGTGGCCTGTTTGATTTTGGTGGCCTGCATATGGAATAGTTGAGGAAAGTAGAGCAGTGTTTAGATAATGTTGTTTAAAAAACACACAACTTGGGCCTCCCTGGTGGCACAAGAAGTTAAGATGCAACCTATGAAGCAGTCCGCAGCAACTGTAGCACAAGTTCTATCCCCAGCCAGGGAGCTACCCACATGGTGCAGGAGACCTCTCCTGTCTCACCCGCTGCTCCCTCAGCAGTGTATTTTGTCAGTCTGCCTGTTCTGTTCCCCACTCTGTCTCTGGTGAATCCTCTCACCCCCCTTCCACACCTCTGGCCTGTACCCCAGTTCTTGTATGCATAAATAAATAAATCTTTAAAAACACACACACAACTTACATAGAAGGAAAATCTTTTTTCCAAGAACAGCTCTTATTTCTCCTTTATTTCTTTCATTATGCAAGAATAAGTCATGATATAACATCTCTTGGACTAAGCTCTAATGGTACTTAAATGGTGCAGTAGAGATTAATGTTGAGAAAGTGCAGTGACAAATGAAAAATACATAGGAGACTAAAGGGCCCAGAGAAAACATGTAAATGAGAATAATAAAGAGAGTGTGAATAATAAAGGTAAAGAGTAAAAGATAGAGAATCAAAAGGAAAAATTGTATTTTCTACAGAGGAAGTCAAGAGAAGATAACTAAATATAACAGTTTAAAAGTAATTTGTTAGAAAACACTAATCATTAAGCCCCCATAATGTTGTGTTAAGGAAACCATGTTGCCTATATTTATAATACAGTTATTTTCTTGTTATATTAGTGAAACTTTTTATGAAATATCTACCTTGTTATATGGAATATACATTCTATATACTCACCATCACTCAATTTACTGTTTGGAATCTATTTCTAAAATTAACAGCCACAGCAGCGCTTTGATAGTTTTCAATAATTCATCAAGGCAAAAGACAATTAAACTTTCCTTAATTGTTTTTCCTGAATGATGCAGTTATATTCCTGTCTGGAGACACACTATCAAGGCCCTCCCATTTTACTTTTGGTGCCCCGCAAATGGGGTAGTCCTTGGAGGAAGTGTAAGTTTGAATACTGCCTTTGTTACTTGTTTGCTACCTGTGAGAAAATCAGGAATTAAGGAAGTGAAATAACTTACTCAAGAATGCTTAGTTAAATGTTGACATGAAGATGGGAACTTTGGTTTTCTATGTTTTAATTCAGTACTCCTTCTAGGATATATTTTTTTTAAATAAATGCTATTCTCTCTTTTTTTAAAGGGCTGGAATAATTCTTCCTGCTTACTTAAAACTTTTATACTTTCTCTTATTCAACACGTTAAATATTTAAAATAATTATATTGAAATTATAATTAAGTAAAATGGAAATCTTTTAGAAAGTCGAAATCATTCAACTTCATTTTGCATTTTTATTCTGCTAGAACAAAGGTTACATAAAAATATATAGACAAAGTCTGAAGCCTATGAATTTTAAATTAATATATATTAAAGGAAATGATAGACAAAATATCATGTTGATAAAAGGAAACAATTCTTTCAGTGCTTTTATACTTAACAAAAGCTTTTAATTAAACAGAAAGTCCAGAATTCCTTAGGTTAATTATATAATGCTTTTCAACCAAAATGCTATCTACTTTTTTGGTTAGAGTTGTCTTTTTCAAATTAATCTCTTACCTACCCCAAGAAGTAAATGAGGGTAGATGCTTTGCAATCAAGCAAACAAGATGAGATTCAAAAATATTACTATAATTATACTACTAGAGACATTTTATTGATACATTTAAGGACATGCTAGTTTTGTCAATTTAGCTATCTGAGAAGTGAAAATGTGCCAAAAAGGATGAATAATCAAGTTATTAAATTGATCCCTAATTTACCATTGTATAACTTAAAGTAATTATTTCTTTCTTACATTTGTCCTTCCAGAAGGTCAGAATTATACAACACATCCTTTTAAATAAGTCCTAAAGTTCACATGTGAAAAACTAGTAGCAGTAAACTAAAGTGAAGTAAAGGCACTGTGGGCACTTTTGGTTTTCATATGCATTACCACTTTCTTTAAATCTAAAGAAAGCTAAAAATAAATTATTTGAATCTAGTAACTTATATTATACATATTTTTTCTCCTCCACAGGAATATACTTCAACACTTTTGCTAAATGGTTATGAGAGCCTAGAAGATTTAAAAGATATAAAAGAGAGTCATCTCATTGAATTAAACATTAAAAACCCAGAAGACAGGATGAGGTTACTATCAGCTGCTGAAAATCTCCTTGATGAAGAAAGTAAGTAGTGTGTGCACATACTCTTCCTGACTAATAATCACAGATTCGTGTGATTATTAAACAGTAAAGTTATTAAAAACAAAGCCTCAGTTTTACTTACTGAGACTCATAATAAATTATTACTTCCTTTGGAAACAACAACTAGCTATAGATTTGACCTTTTTTCCTTACTGTACTCAGAAAATGAAAGGACTTTTCTGGTAACTCATTTAGATTCTACAGAGCTATTAATTTACACACAAGTGGATGCCTGCAATCCCAAAGACTGAGGGAGTTAGAGACAAATATTTAGTGACAGCATGAGTCATTAGTGAGAAATGTCATATGCGACTTCTGTAGAATAACACAGAGCATGGCTCTGAGCTAATGAGCCTTTGCACCACACAGAAAATTTATTTCATTACCATATAGGCACATCTTGTACGTGTTTATAGTATTCTCTCAAAATGTTATAATAGCTTGCAAAAATATTCAACATTCACTTTCATTATCTGAGATAGTTCTCTGTCTTTGTAAGTATGAACTGCAGATGGAGTAATACACGCAGATTCACTTATGGCAGGATACTGGCTATGCCAACTGGGTTTGTAAAGATAGAATCGTTTTTGTTTTTACAATTGCCCAATATGAACACTCATCTTACTAAATCTGGTCAGGCTTCCAAAAACTAGGTTCAGGGCATGCAAAACTCTGCAAGGAGTATTTTATGTGGTTAGGATAAAAAGGGAGGAATATCTAATTTTAAAAATGGGAAAGAACTTAGATGATCTAATCCAACCTTCTTTTTCAAAAGTAATATTAATCACTAACACATTTTTTAAACATGCTCTCAGAATAAAACTTTGATCCAAGGTCTTTACATTTATTATCTTCTTTAGTGCTCTCCACAAATCTGAGTTAGGTGGTACTGTCCCCACTTTAATAATGACAAACTGAGACAATAACTTGTCCAAGCTCATGTATCCTGGAAATTGGTGAGCAAGGGCCAGTGTTCGTGATGCTAACACTACACGTAACAGCCCAGATGGAGAGAAAAGACACTGATGGTATTTAGGAGGAAGGTCTCCTGACTGTCCCTTCATGGACTGCCTTATATGCAATCCCACAAAATGGACAGAGTTACAAAGCACATGTTTATCATACACTGTCCTTTTATGCAGTAGGAATTAATTTACTTTTATAAAAGTTGCACCTCACTTTATTCTTACTTACTGTCTTGATTTTGCATAGATCTTCATTCTTTTCAAAGAACTGTCATGTGCATAACTAAACTGGTACCTGCATAGCTAAGTTCATTTAGGCCAAGTGTTTATATGCATTCTTTGAAACTGCAGAGATTAAGAGATGTAAAAAAAGGGAGAGAGTAATACAGAGGCAGACAAAGTTCAAACTAGCCAATTTACTTAACTGTACCAGCCAAAACAAAACTGATCAGTATACACTAATGCAGAAATTTCTTTCATTTTAATGAGACAATTTCTTTCACAGCTTAACATTTCAAAACAGGGCTACTCACTAGCAATATTGGGCTAAGTATTAGATTCTATAAATTTCTTGTAACTTATAATGTTCAGTATCATAGTCAATACTCTCCAAAATAATTTAACACTAAAGTAGATAGAAGAAGAGTGAGATTGATTTTTTCTGAATACTTGCAATTTACTGTTCTGTATAATACCATTATGTACGTATTTTGCCCATTTTACAGATGAAGATATTTCAGAGAAGAATTTCAAACAAGTCGAACTGTTAGATAAGTCACAAAACTGGGTTCTAAATCAAAGACAGTCTGTTACAAAAGTTTCTTCCACACATGCAAACTGATAAATATAAAAAGAGCAATTTGAAAATTGAAGTTTTTCTACTGCTTTATCAGTTTCCTTAAAAGTGTCGGTTCAGTTTTCCATTGCAGAAGGTGGAAGCTAATATTTAAGTGAGAACAAAAATCTTGTAATATCATGACTCCCTGCATTGCAATAGGGTATGTGAATAGAAGGAAATCTCAGTAAATAGGTTTTCAGTTATAAAGCAGAGCTCAGCATGGACAGAGGAAAGATCTGTCCATCACCTAAGGTGTCGACCACTTAAGATAGCCACTTAATTTCTTTTCACCTCCCTCATCATCCATCACTTATGTTAACACAACAGCGATTCACAAACAATATCATATTAGAGTTAGATGCAATTTTAAAAATCATCTGAACAAATTCTTCCAGTCTTCCTTTGCAAGTTGGGGAACCTAAAACTAGAATAGCTAAGTGACTTTCTAAAGGTCACATATCTAGAACTCAGTCTCCAAAATCTGTTAGAAGCACATTCTACTGTACCCCGGCTTCTGTAAACAAAATACTATCTCCAAAGTATGATGTGGCTTCCAATGTTTGATATAAAAAGTAAAGTGTAAATCCCCAATTATTTCCCTTCATGAAACTTCAGAAAACAATACTTGAAGGTCACTAGAAGTTGATCATCTAATAATAGCTGGTAAAATGTACAAACATACACACACCAAGCCAAATTATGGAAGATGAAAAATGGAAAAAATACAGATTCAACCAGTGTTTGTTATCAACACACAACCCAGAGATTTTTCTTATTTTAATCTTACAGTCTAAAGTAGTATTAGAATATACATGTCAAAAAGATGCATATTGCATGTTAGGCTTTTCTGACTGAAAGCTATTTATCTTATATGAAACTGCTTTGCTCAAGAAATAAAGAAGAATGACTTCTATTTGTTGATAAGATGGTGAGTTCTGATGATTCGGCACCATGCTGCTGCATGCTTATATTTATCTATTCTCTACTCTGTGAATCATATCTTCTACAACCCATGCTAAAGATTAAATGCACAACCTTCATGTACCCTGAATGATAAAGACCTGGAATATCTGGTTATAGAAAACGGAGACATTATTAAAAACAAATAGATGTTACATTTTAGGTTAAAAATAGTTAGCCCTGTGTGTGTGTATGTGGTCAATGAAAATTGACCAGGATTTTAGGTATGCATTTTATTTTAATAAACTTTGATGCATCTTTTTGACATGTATATTTTAATATCAGTTTGGAGAATGTAAATAATTTAGAACTGCATTGTTTCTTTGGTTAGGAATTTGGAAGTCTGGCTTTGCTAGTAAGTCAAAATGGGCACCCGTCTGGAGGACAAGAATTAAAGCTGAAATAACGGCCAAAAGACTCGAAGCCCCAAATTAGCCTTTAATAATTCTAGAGGGAGCAAGAAGATGGGGAATGAAACAGAAACAAAAACAGAAATCTATGAATTAGGGCAAACAATTTTGCTTTTTCTCTTAGGCTAAGATAGATAGAATTGTACCACTCTGACCCTGAAAACATAACTGGATTAAACTTTCTAGGTCACTGCTTGAAAAGAGGTAAAGACACCTCTCCGACAAAATGACAGAAGGGATGGCAAGTGGCATTAGAGCTGACCACAGGATTACCTCTGGAGGAGGAGGGTGACTTTGGGGACCTGCAATCCCAGAAAGACCAGTACAGAGATAATCTGAATTTGTCCCTGTGTTGCAATAGAACTCAGTAGAATTAGGTCATTGGCTCCCTCAACTGGGAATCTAGATGAGGTTAGAAGGAAAGAAAAATTGGAGTGAGACTTGGCTCTTGAAGGAGCAAAACTGCAAAATCTGTTTATTTTGTGCACATTCGAATTTCTTTATTTATCATCTGAATTTAAAACTGGTTTGTTACTTCAAGTAAGTATACCCAGCAATAAGAAAGAGACTAGAAAAACGTGTGTGCGTGTGTGTGTGTGTGTGTGTACACGCGCCATAAATACAACCTTGAAGACCCCTTTACCTTGCTGAGAAATGCCTCTTAAGAGTTAACTCCTGTTTATATTAAATATTTTGTCTTTATCCGCACTTATAACATTTTCCCCACATTTAGAATTGCATCTTAAAATTGCACCCATTAGAATGTATACTATTGCCCTTGGAGAAAATGGAAATACCTTATTTTCCCAGTAACACAGGGATAATTAAATTTTAAATTTAAAAAAAATTAGTAAATGAATAAGCAAACTGTGCTAGAATCTGCATATAATATTTTTAAGTACCTGCCACCTTTGGTTGCAGTGCTCAAAGAGAAGGAAGTGGGAAAGAGAACTGTGTGCCAGGCTGTCTGCACCAGCTGTGGTCACAGCAACCCTCATTGCTCAACTATCCCCAGTTGTGCCTTCCTGCCTGCCTACCTGCCCAAAACGATGCAGGGCAAATGGCAAGGCCCAGCCAGGAGTCTGGAACACGAGCTGCCAGCAGGCGAGATTTGTAGTTATGCCAAGCAGCAGTCCAGCAGTTGGCCTGACAGTGTGCCAGAGTTGCCTGGTGCCCTCACCCCTAACATGCATTCCTGGTGTTTCCAATCCACTTGCCATATGATTTGAATTGAGATTCAAGAAATGTGCAGCTCTTTAGAAAAGATAACCTAACCATCCATATATATAGAACAGAAACAGCACAGACATTTTACTTTTATGTATTTATAAATACATTAAAATATGTATTTCTAATCATTGCTATTTTATGCAATTTAATTTTTGCAATTTAATTTTTTCAGATTTTTTGTTTTACACTAAAATTTCATTTTTTAAATGTCATAGATAATTCCAACAAAAAATAAAATGAAATATATTTTACTCTTCTACTAGAGAACATTTCCTAGAGAAGAGAGTTCAGAGACTTTTCATCTCAGTCACTGAAGAAACCTGTACTGCTGTACATGGAGGGCACACTGTACTTGTTCTACATGGCGCTACTGTCAATATTACCCTGGCCAAGAAAAAATTGTGTCCTCTTTTACCATATGCCTTCCCAAAACTCCTAGTTCTACTCTTTGTTTTGAATGGACAATTAACCAATGCTTATATAGTGAATAAATGTTGAATGAGGGAGGAAACAGATTTGCAAATAGTTACCAAGGCTTTTCTTTGGTTATAAAACAAAATCTCTCACAATCTCACCTAG